TCTGCTGAATTCACTGATTTCTCTGAGTAGATGACTCCCATGTTATTCAGGATAGGGCTTAATTCCACATTACCTATAAATTTTTCCTCTCCCAATGCCTATCTTCATTTTTTGTCCACACAGCACTTAGGTCCCTCCTGCCTACCATGATCTCCAAGATTCCCAGCCTTGTCAGGTAGGTCCCTCAGAAACTCTACACGCACGCAAAATGTCTTTGCCAGCTCCTCCTCACCATCTTCTGCATAGGTGCTTGACAGCAAAGCTGTTCTTTCTGCACAGTGTTAGCCATGTTGTTCACTTTGAACATTCATCCATTTAGGAGGGCAATCCTACACAGGCTTCCCATTCTCTTTTCCTTGTATATTTTTAGGAAACATGATTTCTGATACAACTGACCTATTTCTCAGCTATGTCTTTGGATTGCATCTGGGATGTGTCAGCACTGCTAGAGGCACTTTAGCAAGGTCCAAAAGGAGATAAATTGCACTTGGAGACAGGGGAGAACTATCTACACCACATGTAATACACATGTTAATATGTATTATGCATGGCTGTTTTACATATATTATGCACAGCTAACATTTTCCACTTCCCTCTCTTTAGTAATGAAAACGTCTCTAACACAGTTCTGCTCTAGTCTCCTTGCCCCCACCTCCCACCCTTATATTTTATAGCATCTGGAATAAGCATTGGTCAGCCTTTTCTCCCAGGGGGGGATGCAGCAGTCAGTGCAACACCCAGTATGTCTGCAATGTCCTCCCTTCAGGCTCTTTTCGAACCCTCCCCAGCTGCAACCAAGCCAGCAGGGGAGGGAAACCCTCACAGTGAAACCCAGAAAGCACTTAGGGAAAACAAATAAGGTTGCTAAGAAACCATAAAGATAAACTCAAACCCACAAAATCCAGGAAATAGTTCATATGCTCTTTTCAAACACACGCCAATCATTGCTCTCAGTGCTCAGTCTGTCACATTATACTAGCACAGAGCTAAGGCTGTGATTATATGTGCTCAGGACCAATTCCCAAAAATGTGAGAATCCCAAAAACTGAGCATGTTGCATCACTCAACCATATCTACCTCTCTTCCTACTTTCTAAAATTACAGCACACATAAAAAGAATCAAGTAGAATTACAGTGCAGGTAGGCTATAAATTCTATGTATATGATGAGTTATCTATAATGACAGTAGCAGTGAAGATGCCAGCAGCACAGCTGGGCAACATCAGCATACAAAACAAGGGTCCACTGAGGGCACAAATCATACCCTCCCTACCACTGCCATCCTGCGGGCTAAAGACAGCACAGGCTCACCTGCTGATTTGCAACTCCACCTCCTTTTTACCACACATCTACAGCCTTGGGAGCCATGCTTTGCCCACAGGGATTTTCTTAAAACAAAATTTCTTACTATGTTCAACCTGTAAGCAAACCTATCTCCAGTGCATCAGGAGGTAAGAAGATGAAAGCCAGAAGGAAGGGGTAAATATGCCAGTCACGCCTTGCCCGTGCCACACAGACCCTGGAGCCATGTTTGGGTGTTTTCAGAGCCTGGTGAACTCTGGAAACAAGGAGCAATTGAGGCAAGGCAATCTTCTTTTATCAGCTGCCCTTTGAGCACCACATGTTCTGCTCCCCATGCACACAGCTACATTGCAGCACCTGATAAATTTTCTCACACTTTTAAAAGAGTTTGGGAAATAAGAGCATGCCACTAGAAAGGTTATATTTAGCCCTCCTATCTCCAATCACCTTGAGTTAAATTAGATAGTCAGAGCATAGCAATTGCCTGCCACACAGCCTTGTGGCTTAATCAGTGCTTCACAGCAAGGTTGAAACTTCTCTGAAAGAAATGAGGTGAACTCGATTGCTAATTTGGCTTCATCCTACCTCATCATATAGAGGCCAGAGTGGTTCATTTCTGTCACAAAAAACAAGAGAGCATTTCCACTTCCCAATCTGAGTTTGCACCAAAATGGCACCACTTTCAGTAGTACAAAGAATTTCTTAGAAATGGAGCAAATGTTAATCCTTGCTAACATCTCTTGAAAGTGATTGGTATGAAAAAGCATAGCCTAAATATCCTTACACTGTGCCCAGGAGAATTTCTCTTTGCCTTGCACAACTAATGCATTTTGTGCACCATGTGGCTGTATTTCCCCAGCGCAAAAACTAAGAATAAAAGGGTATTCACACAAACTGGCACAAGTGTGGGACATCATCACTTCAGGATTCACCTCTAGTCAGCAGAGACAAAGACCCTGCAAAGGGTGAATACATGCACCTGGGTTCTCCCCATCAACCGATTTCCTGCACTCAGGGACTTTGCATCTCTCTGAAGTTGCACAGTAACCATGCTCCATTGTCAGGAGGTGTAGTAGCCCTCAACCTGCCCAAGCTTCTTCATCCAAGGAGCAAACCAGCAGCAGCATTAAACAAAACCAATGCCAGGATGCAACAGCTTATCTCGGAGGGCTACTACTGAATAACTGTCTCACTTTTTACATTAAGAGGTAACAGGATGTTAGATGGTCTATGTTGCTGCTATGAAATTCAGGTTTTAAGCACCAAAATTAGCTTCCAAATCAGGAAAATACAACTGATAGTCTTTTATGACTAGGGGCATGCTGTCTTTTACAACCTTATAGTCTTTTATGATTACTTTTACAACTGTAAGTTCGTAAAAGACAGCATGTCCATTAGTACAATTGTTCTACAGCTATTACCAGACGTGTCTTTCAGTCAAAAGCATAGTAATTTGTACTTCAGAAAGATACGGTGGGAAATACAAATCTGGAATTACCAATTTCTCAAACATATCAGAGAAAAGGATTTAGAGCGAGCAATGCAATTTATCTTGTGTAATGATAACAAAAAAAAAATTAGGTCACACATTGAAGACTTTTAAAGCCCTCTCTTTTTCACACCACAAGTTTTATCAAACCAGCACAGCAAGAACATCATGGGTGGCATTTGCACAGCCACAGTTACAGCTCAGCTCTCACCTAAGGAGAGCAAAGCTGCGCAACAGCTTCCATCCAGGATGCAGAAGACAAGCAAAAATAACAAAATGTCCATTTCTAATGTGTCACTTCAGCTGATTACACTGAAAAAAATAACAAGAAAAGATGAAGTATTAAAAACGTAAGTAGGATGAGCAAGCTTGCTGTGTCCATGATAAAGTGTGTATACTTTTATCATAATTATGCTAAAGGGCAGAGTAAATAGCTTCCAAAGAGACAAGCAGAAGAAAAAAACCAAAGTTTTTCAGTGTGTTCCAAAACACTGAACACCACACCAAAGGCTGACTAAGCTCTTAAACTTTCATCTACTTTACCCAAGTCTTTAACTGAGTCTTCACTAACTCATGAGCACAAATTTAGGAGGAAAGCAGAGTAAGAAGAAAAGACTTGTACCTTTCATGGTTGCTTCACATACTTCCATTCTGGGCACAAATCAAAGATTGAAATTCAACCTGTAAAGGTTTCATTTATGCCTAAAGCAAACATCAGGTACTTTGCTACCATGGTGATGAACACAGTAAAAACACCTTAATCACTCCCGATTCTGCAAGTGTAAAGTAGGGCTTGGTGCAATGGTTAAAAACATAGTCTGTCATCAGACACGAGTTCACACTTCAGAAAATGGTTTCTATTTTGAGTATTGCAGTTGTGCAAAAACTGAAATACATAAACAATAAATGAAGAGAGAAGTTGTGTAGTGTACATCATGCATATGCACTACTCTAGTCCTGCACAGAATTTGTAAGATGAGTTGATTGATCAGGGGTTCCCAACCTAACAGCCATAAAACTGTTTCGGAAATGAGTCACTTGCTTGACTACCATATGTTTGCTAACACCAAGAGAATAAATACACAGCTTCGGAAAACTAAGGAAGTCATATCACATTTTTTTTATTTTAAATAACCGAGTTCCATGTTAAAGCTCAATACTTCCATGTGCCCTTTAAAATGACAAACCATTAAAAAGATTTTTTTATAAAACTAAAGCTAATAGCAGCTGAATTCTTAATGTCCAACACATTTATATTACAATATATATACTAAACTTAAAAGGTACAGAGAATCTTCAAAGCTGTTCCACACTATCCATCTGATTTTGACTTTTTGGGACTAACCCCACCATCTTCAGCTGACTTCTCTGCTGGTCTCTTTTTTAACCCTTTCATTTTCCGTGTCTGCAGTTTACCAAGGTCTTGCTTCTGCATGTGGATTCGACCGTAAGTTGTACCAAACACGTCATGGGAGATATTCTTTTTCTTCTTAGGCTGTAAGGGAAGAAGAACATTAGTATTTCTGAATAGAGAGTGACAGGAGCTCTGGTGAGAACCAAGTGCCTAAAAACAATGCCACATACTGTGGTTGGAACTTAGAGATTAAGATTTGTTCTGTATGTTTGTATGCCAGCTCTTCACTGTAAAAGTGCTGTGGCCCCAGAAATCTCAGTTGGCCTACATAAAAGCAAGCCTTGGTCAAATATACAGTAATACTTCAGCTTTTGCTCTTCCTCACATAAGATAGATCTGTAAGTAACATACTTTCCAAGGTACATACCTTCAGGGCTTTTGGTTGTTTTAAAGACAGCTTATAAAGGTCATCTGAAGCTAAATGTGTCCTCCTCATAACCAGATCTAAAGAAGGTCCCATCTCTTCTAGTTCAATTCTTGGTATTTTACAGCCAGATTTCTTCAGAAGAACCCTACAAGGGAAAACCAACCAAAATCAACATTGGCCTCTGTGACAAAGATTTACCCATCTTCCTAAAGGGCAAGTTCAATCCCCATAGTTTGAAAAACTATTAAAAACAATTGCTACTGCTAATTCTATTATTGAGAAATATGTCTGTCAATTACAATTTATAATATATTAAATCAGTCCCATCACAATTTGAACACACTCAAAGTACAACCTGGCTCATGTAACTTCTTTTTTTTTTTGGAAAATGTGACCAGTATTATCAGTATTACTGTTAAAACTCAGTCCCAGTACCCTGAAAGACATATCCCTCCTCAAATTCAAAATAGTGCCCTGGGCATCAGCAGACACGAAAATATTTACTATTGTTTACAGCAAAATAACCTGGGTGCTAACCAAGAAAGTTTTTGTTTGTTTGTTTTGAAGAATGAGACTGATAGAAGTGATTTTGTTGTAAGAGAAATCAAAATTGCATGGAACACAAGCTACGAATGCTCACAGCCTCCTAAGGCAAGGCCATGAACTACGAGGGTGAACAACAATGCAACAAGAAAGATTGTCTTGTCCTGCCTTTTCCTGTTTTCCCTTCTGTATCACCAGCTGCAGCCTACCACCCGTCCTTCTCTGACAGGCACCTAAGTGAGGAAAGTCCTAGAAATCAGCTTGAGGAGAGACTAAGCCTATGAAGTCTAAGTACTCTGAATTCACCAAGTTAATTCACACCACCTTACTAATCCAACCATACAAAACAGCAATCCTTGCAGCTAGAAAGGGGAGCTCAACAAGGAAGGAAGCAGCAGGTTTAAGGCTTAAGTGTTTTCCTTTTGTTTTCCTTACTCTGTGTTATGCTGAAACACCTCTACACATTCCCTGTTTTAAATGCAGCAAACTATTGCTCAAGCCAGTTCAATTACACAACTACGGGCTAAATTCAGGGAAAAGTTGACAAGTGTACCGACAAGCAAACAAACAGGTAAAACTCACTTATAGCTTCGCATGTAAATTTTCCCATCTACAGCTGTGAAATGCAGAACATGCTCTAAACCAGCCAGACGAATATTTGGCACACTAGGACCTCTGAAGAAATCTGAAAGAATATTTGAAAAGAATAAATACCAGGTTTCTTGGCTGAAAAATCAAACCAACAGATGACTACAACAAATTGGTTTATTTTGTAATGGGCCCACATCACATCACTGATGTGAACTCCTTCCCTGTATAGATATTTTTACTGTATCTAACTAAACAAGGCTATACATGGGACAGCTCTAGAAAAGCTGAATCTGTATGTTTAATGGGAATCTCACAAAATAGCCACTACTTAAAACTGCAGCCTTGCCAAAACACAGGAGAGAAACTTAACAATTGTATTGAAACCAAATGCATGTAGAAATCCTGATAGGAACACAGTGATTTCCCAGAGATAATTTGGTAGCAATATACACACTACCTAAAATAAGTGCATGGAGAAGAGCAAATATACTTTCAGAGCAGTAACCTAGCCTTATTAAGCTAATTGGGATTATTGCATTGTCTATTCTTCCAAATATTCATCTCTGAAGTCAGAAAAATGAAATTTATCTTATTTTGTGTTTAGGCCAGTTCATGCTCAGCTAAACACAGATAAATGCAGAGAAGCCATTAGTTCAGGTATGTGTTTAAAGACATCATTCACACCCCTGATACTTAAGATTCTTAATCAGAGCCTGATTTGGAAGAGTACAAAGAAGGATAAAAAACAGTACAAAAACAGATCAAAACTGTATCTTGTCTACTCTTACCTATGTTTTCTCTTTCTGACTGGCAGAAAACGTTTACATTGTTTCTTTCATACCTCCCCCACAACAAAGCACTTCTGTGCTTTAGGTAAAGCAGTATTTGTCATTACAATCAATGTTTTCTCTATTAATAAGCAACACATATCTATAAAAATAAAACACTTTAAATACTTGCTTGGTTTGCAAAGAGAACAATGAAATGCAGGTTAAATACAAAATGAGCCGTCTCTAGTGAGGTTCTTATATCAGGCTTTGAAAAAAATACTGTGCAATCAGAGACCTTGTAAAAAAGCACAGCAATCTGTCCAACACATGCAGAGGGTGGAGAAAGAATGTGACCTTGACTGAGGGAACAAGGTGTGCTAATAAACATGACAGGGCAATGGTGAAACATAGGAGAACTGCTAACAGATGCAAAACACATCAGTCTTTTCCGTTCTGTCCCATTTTCAGATCCCTCGACTAGCTGTCTTTTCCTCCACTACCTTTTTCAAGAGTATCAGCACTGGAGTGACATCCAAAACAAAGTCTTGCTGGCAGATATCAGCTGGAGTCTAGCCAGGAAACTTCCTTGGTCAATTAACTACTCTCTCTCCTCCTCCTCCTGTGGGTTGAGCTTGTAGTTAAAGGTTGCAAATAAAATATTTTTTTCACTTCTGGCATATATTCTCCTTTCAACTAGTTCTCTGCAGGTACAGAAGCTTACTTTTACAGTGGTTTTATTGGCAACATCTCTTTCGTATTTTCCTGTGGCATCATACGTCTTTTTACCCACAGGATGATCTCTTCCAAACAAATGCAGGTGGTCAGGAATTTCTGTTTCCTGGCAATGCTGAACAGCTGCAGAAACCTTACACTTTAGTATACCTACAGTTGAAGCTTTTTTAATGTACTCTTAATTTATAACTCTTGCTTTGGTTGGACTGGAGACTTGCTTTCTCCTTTCTTTCCATTCCCAGTTCTTTCTCCTCCTTGTCCTCAACTTGTTTCTACAACTTCTAATTTACTTTTTCCTACAGAGAGCTTCACAGGGCCTTTCCATATCCAGATTAAATTCCTAAATTATTTGGGAACATGAGTCTATACGCTTCTTTTTGTACCAATTTATCCAAAAGCTGGTAACACTGGAACTCATGTAGCTATGGTTAGCATTAGCAAAGTTAAAACTCCATCCCAGACATTTCCCAGCCATCCCTTCTTAGCCAGAAGGAACCCACAAATCTGAGACGCTCAAAGTCTGTGCGAGGAAGGCTGTATGAAGAACAAGTGGATGATCAGTATAAGATTGTAGAGGTCTCCTGGAAACCACCATTTTAGAAAGTTTATAAGCAAGTGACGTAGCACCTAACCATTTTTAAGATTAAATGTGTGTGCAATAACAGAAGTAGCAAGCAGGCAGTGCTGTAAGAGATGAAAGAGTTTATAAATACAAGCATAAAAAGTTATTAGAAGTTAATGAAGTGCATTCCAAGGACTTGCATCATAAATTAATTCCTACATTACCACATCAGTAGGCAACAAAAACCAAAAAAGAATGGGATGTCTTAGTCTTCCAGGTCTCTAAAGAAAAAAGCTGCTGCCATTTATTTCTCTTAAACAACTTCTTGCACTTCACAATTTAAGCAGACTACAGGGTTTGGTTACCATGAAGACAGTAATTCACTCTTGCCTTTAATTTTACAAAGAAACAGCTGCAAGATGATACTTCAAACACACATAAACACTTTTGATACCACAAAAGCCAATGAAAGCTTGTTTTTTCACCAGCATCACTGGCATCACATTGCTTTGTCAACAAGAAGCTGTTAGCTATCTGATATTCCCCCTGGGATCCCAACAATACTGCTACAGTAACAAAATATTTGCTCCTGTTGTTATAAAGACATTTTGCTATCTTTCTTAGCAAGAGTGGCAGCTTAAAAGCACTATCTTTTGCAAGAACAGAAAGAAGCAGTTCTTCCCTATCAGTTAAGGGTGGTTTTGAAGCAGGTCAAATTATTACCCAAACAATTTTAATTGGTTAGTGATACCTTCGAGCCTTTACACTCCTTAACCTTTTCCTTTGTCTTTTGTTTTGTGTCTAGATATTTCATAAAAGTCAGCAGAACATTAAGACTTGGAGTATTTGGAGTACATTTAAGAAGAAAGACTGAGTGTCGATTTGAGTACATTTGACTGCAGTCACTAAAGGGAAATAAATAGGAGAAAGGACAGATGAACATCAAAAGAAATAAGACAGGAAAGACTAGTTAGTTATTTGGCAACCATCTAACAATGCATGTCTTCCACTTAAGGTATCAAGCTGTTTGATCATGGAATGCATGAGCACACCTGGATGCCAATCACCAATATTGTGAAGATGCCTGAACAAGACACACTTCAGAAAATAATGCCCCTGCTTCCTTCAGTGTAAATACTCATTTAGAGTGATACAGACATGCAGTATTAAAACTTGCCTATCTTCATATTCACTATTCACCCACCTTCAAAGGTTTATACACACAGTTACTAGCCTTTCATCTACCACCAAGCACCAGTCAGCTGTACTGAGAGGATGCAAATTTTCTCCTCTCCTGCTCCCTTTTTACTCTCACTCCAGATGAAACATCTTGCATTAAGGAATTATAATACTAAGGAAAAAACAAAAAAAAAAACCAAACTAATTTTTAAGGTCTGTTTCTAAAGAGCAATCATCTGTTTCCCTAGAAATAAGAGCCCATCCAATATTTATTTTAAATGAAAGGGTGATCTTGCAAAGCTGTACAGTTATGAATGGGTACAACTCAAGAATGGAACTAAGAGAAGAAGACTGTTCTTACTGCGTCAATTTCAGTATTTTACCAGAGCTTATAAAAAAAAAAAAAAAGTACTTGTAGGAAACCAATTAAAAAGTAAAAACATACCACCCTATTTACTAGATCTAGTTCTGCCAATCAAGACACATTTTTTAAGCATCAAGAGATACAGTACCATGACTTCTATGTCCAAAAAAGCTACCCTAAGAAAAGTATAATTTTTTGTAGTTCCCCAGAAAAAACCCACAATGTGCTTTATCTTCCAGAGTCTCCAACCTTGAGATAGTAAAAAACTTTATGCCGGTTTGTTTAGTAAGCTACAAGCCTGCTTTGAAGTTATGATACAGCCATTATCTACAGCTGATTTTTACAGCACATGTTCTTTCCAAGTACTCTAATCAACAGCACTTTTTTAGAATTGGTCAAATTTCCATAAGAAAACGCTTTCCTTGTAAAAACACAAGCTCAGTTATACAGATTTGACTTTTTTGTAAGCAAAAAAAAAACCAAACACCTCACTTTCTGAACTTAATCCACTGATTTCAAATTAGATACTTCAAAAATATTACTTGGTTAGAAAAGTGATGATCCAGTACAACTACAAGGTAGAAACTTTTTGAAAAATGCCAGAATTCTCCCACAAAGTAATGAATTTTATTGAACACAAAAGTTACAACTTGAGTGTCTTTTAGGTTAGTCTTTTTCCCCCTCTAACAGTCATGATTAGATAATTTTAATTTCATGTGACATGAAACTTACAAGTGCCTGTTCTTGTTTTCTGTCTGTGCTGAACATAAGCAAACATTTATTGAGAAACCAGCACTTCCCAACACATCATATTACTACAGATTTATGCAATGCTACCACTCAAATAATCAAAATACTGACCAATAAGAAGGCTCTTCAGTCTTCTGTATTCTTCGTTTACATCAAACATGTCACCAGCAAATATCAACATAGGTTTTGTTCCTTCAGGACATTTACTGTTCTGTGGAATAAGAATTTTATGTTAGGGAACATATTATTCACTTAACAGGTGGCCATTCAATGCTGAATGAAAAACTGTTGCGACTCGTGATCAATATGGGCAAAATAGACACTTCTTTTCATTGAACAACACTGTATGTGCATGGAAGGACTTTGTTTTTAAATGGGTGAACTGTATTATTATTTGTGCTGGTTACTATAAAAAGGTTAAGATAATACTGTGCAGTGAAACAAGAATGAATTTCACTGCAACTACTAACAAGAAAACTAAAACTAGAGGCAAACAAGTCTATTGTACTTCTGACACTGGAGAGTACATGAAAAAGGCTAAAAGGATAGTTTAGTCAATCATCCAGTTCTAATTTTGGTCAACAAATACAATTAGTTGAGTATAATTTCCCTGCTGTAAACAGTGTTATGAAGATCCACACTACAAACAATCTGATTTCAGGGGGAAGATTCACCTTTATAAAAGGTAGTTTCTTCACTATCCCTCAAGACTTTCTTGCCAATTTACACACTGTGATGAAAATGGAGACCATAAAAACTTCGGATTTTTGCAGTGTATGAACTGCTTGACACAAAAGTACACACATATTAAATGTTTTAGTCTTGACAAAATGAGCCTAACATGGCCATAAAAGGTGAATCTTCTCTGGGTTTAAATAATCGAGATATTAGCTCCCTGTCTGAATTAAGTATAGTTCCCTGAAAACTGGCATTTATGTGCTACTGAAAGCTAAAGGAAGTTTCAGAATCACCTCAGTCAGCAGAGCGACTCTCTTTGGTTGTAATTTGAGAAGAGGGATTTCAGTTTTAAAAGCCTATGCCAGTTTATACAGGAACCTCCATGAGCAGAACCTGACTACAGAATTTTGTAAATGTAACTCTAATTAAAACAAGAAAATATTAGGAATATACCAAGTATTAAAAAAAAAGGTATTTGCAAATAAAGTTGCAAGCTTGCTCAAAACAACCAAAATTTTTTAAAAAGCAGAGTATAAAAAAACCCAAAACATTCTGGGGTACACAAATTAGCATTCTTCATATACCAGATGAAACGCTTTTTTAAACAACTCCTGTCCTTACTTCAAAGCACAAAAAAGGCCAACGCACCAAAAAAACCCACCAGTAGATGTCACTGAAATACTGAACTAACAATTCCTTACCTTGACATCTTTTAGGGATACAAACTTCTCAACGCCCAGCTCAATCATGTCTAAGATATGATAGTCAAACATACGACCTGAGAAAGTAAAAAAAAAAAGAACATCCAGACACTTAAATATTAATTGAAAACTAGACCTTTCATCCAAATAAAAACCCAAGTGAGACTATTACCTATTATCAAGTTGTTAGGTCGCTTCTTGTTATGAGAGCCAAACATAAACAGAGAACAATCGGATTTCTTGGAAAAAAATTCCTACAATTGAGGAAAAGAACAAAACTTATGAGTTCTGATTTGTAGTGTTTAAAATATTTGGTGAAGGTATACATCATAAACACGTGAGTTTAGGAGCTGCCTAACAAGAAGAGCAACTGCACCTACCAGAATAGTTTTGAGCATGTCCAGGTCCAAATAAGCTAAAATTGACAGATGGACTCAAGGTTCAAATAACAATTGATTTCTTCTTTTATTTCCCATGGCAGTCTTAAAGATCAAGTCAGGCATTTTCTCCTTGCCATTATCTCTAATGCACCTTTTTTATAATTCCTCATTATTCGTTTTTACATAAGATACTTTCAACCACTTTTCCTTGACCTAAGAGTAAGTATTTGCAAGTTGGCTACAGTTGTAATGCCTCATTTTAGTTACCCAGCTAAGTTTTATGCAGCATATTAGCTTTGCCTAACAGCTTCTGAACAACCAGTTAATTCCCTCAACAGCAAGCCTAGGAACATTTGCAAATATCTAATGTTCTCACACTTGGGCACCAGAGTCCTACTCCAGAGCAACTTCACATCAATTTAAGACTAAGATACTTCTTAAAACCAACCCAGGGGTAACTATCATAGAGAAGATCTTTTCTCCAAGTGGAGTAGACAGAGAACCTATTATGGTATTATGTCCAGAGCCAACATCACAGCAATTATTTCTGAGGATGCCTAACTCTAAAGCCTTTTTAGGCACTGCTGCTTCTCAAGGCAGCCCCTCATTTCGTGTAGGCAGAACCATAGCTGTACACCACTATCTCCTTTCTCTCATTTTGTTGAAGGAAATATATATAATGCTTTTATGACAGACATATTTCAGCAGTTAAAGTAATGCTTCGATGGAAGTGCAAATGTGTGAGGTATAATCTTAGGATTAGCTCCTCTATTTTTCACCTTCCTGCTCATAAATTATCTTGGCCTTAAAGCACTGATTCAACAGCAAATCCAGACAGGTGCATATCACCAAGTGTATTTCCAAACACACATCCCCTTCCAAAACAGACTCCAAGAGAGCCATTTTTGCAACCTCTTTGACAGCCAAATACACTGAAATTGCACACTTTTCTAACAGTTGTTGACTGAATGTTGGAACAGAACTCTCAGCAACCATCTCAGTTGCACAGCTGATGCATGTGTTTGCATGTGGTACTCTGATGGGCTTTTCTTCCTCTATTCAAACACAAGGAAATCACAGAAAGCTATAACTCCCCTATTTAACTATTTTAACCTATGAATTCACCAAATTGAAAACAAGTTGTTCATAAGCTATGGCACTTTAGAGGACTGACTTCTAGAATAGCAAAATAAAACACTTTATTCTTCCTTTCATATCAAACACTGTTACTTATAATAACATTTAAGGTAAAGACAAAGTCTTCACAAATTACAATTCTGTCTTGCAGCTAGAGGAAAAATAGGTCTATTGATGCCATAAAACTAGACATAGCCCTACCTTCAACTTTCCCAAACTCCCTGTAAACTTTGTTTCTCATATAGCTCCTTATGGAGTAACAGCAAATTAACCTCCAATTAAGTTCTTAATGACTTTAAGGATGTAAAATGTCCCAAGAGGAAACATGGTTTATACTCACCAATGATGTTTGATCCTCAAAAGGCCTAGTGATATTTTTCCTGAAAGGAGGAAAAAAAAAAGAAAAAAAAACAAGATTAAAAAAAAAAAAAACAAAACCAGGCCCAGATAAGCCCTTCTAATTATTTATTCAATAACATTAAAATTCTGCATTCTACTGGAAACTCCAGCAATAGAGGTTCAGTTTTAGTTCAAACCATAAGCCACATTAATACTACCAGGAGTTCCTTAGTGCTGCAGTTGCCATTTTAAGTACTTTCCTCCACCTTTCCCGTCTCCTGGGACCTGACTTCCAGATCATTACCAGTGAAACTTAATGAACAACGGCCACTGCTTGTTGATTCAATGTTAAATTTAGCTATTACAATTAATGTGTCTGACCTACATCCATACAGATACTGGGTTACCATTTTGAGCAAGACATATCTATCACTATAATCTGTAACTTGAATTTATAAGAATTCAGATGTAAGAACTCCAGCCTACCCACCTGACACAGAAGCTTGCTAGCTGTTTGCACACATCAGTCAGAGAAACCAACTGTTTCCGTTTCATAGAATCACAGAATGGCCTGGGT